ACAGTTGTATGAGTTTTAATTAGGTATGATATTAAAAAGTATTTAAATCTCCTATTCTGCAATTGAAGGAAAAGAGATCATTTAGATCATAAAAGGGTATATTTCTCAAAGGAATTATTGTGGGTTATGTATCTATCTGCAAGCCAACTGGAACTACTAGTTCTAGGATGTCAAAAGATTGATACACTTGACTAATTAGGAAGCCAGTTGGGACTGGTGACAGCAGTCTGCAGCAGCTTGTGAAAGCCGATTTAAAGGTCTCATAGGAAGTATTAATATTGAACAATATTTGCAACTCTTATACTATCACTGTAGCAATGTTGTATGCAGTTCTCCCAGAGCAATTCAAAAGATTTCTAAAATACTGTATGGTACACTTTCATTTCTTAAACTTTCCATCATGTAATCTTGGACAGTATTATAGGTATTACGGATTTTAATAGCTAGCTGTGTAACCTCATAGAAGATGTCACAGTCAACTCTTGACATAGGCATCAAAAAACAGAATTTGGTACCTTACAGAAGGTATAGGAATTTGAAAACCAGACTTTCTGCATGTTTTGAGTACATAGATTATTAACTATGAATATTTTTATTTGCAGTGGTTAACTTTTTCATTACATCCTAACTAATTGAGGATTTTTTTAATTGAAGTTTCTGTATACTCCATTTATTCTACTGTTAACTGTTTTGCATGTCAATGGAAGCACTAATCTATAATCCAGTTTATGACTACAGCATATTTCAGATAAGTACGAAAAACAGATACTATTCATAAATATGTTACAGCTATGCTACAAAAAGCTGTGGTTTTGCAGTATTTCTATTCCATTATTTAAAATCTTTTTTGTAATTTATTTGATGGGTCTTTTTATAGTATAGCAGATTATGCACCAGGATTTTTTTCTACTGAAAACTGTTTAAGTTTTTGAAATAACTATGGAATCCATAGTAGTCTTGAATAGGCTTAAAAGGAAAGAGATGACATGCTGAAACAGGATTGAAATTTTTCTTCTGTTATTCCTACTTCCTAAAACAAAGCTTATGAACATTTTTCCATAAATGTTAATGGTATCATTTTGGGGACTGTGATATTATTCAATCTTTTTTGAATTACTGTTACCTAAAATGCTTATAAACTGTACTCTGACATCCATGTACCATAATATAACTAATGCCATGGCCTCAAAATTTCCTCAAGCATCACTTTGGTTTGAAACTATTGACTGAGTGTTTTCATTCCAGACATAAGTATTTTAAAGAATTGTATGACATCAGATGGAGAAAGGACAGTTAAAAAAATCAAACGAAGCAAACAAACAAAAAAAACCCAACCCAAAAACCTGCCCCACCACAAAACAAAAAAACCCCTAACACTCAGGAATCTGAATACATAACCTGATTAATTTTTTGTAAGGTATGTTCCAAACTGTATTAATAGCTCTTATAGTCCATTAGTCATGGGACCAAACTTCAGTATAATAAAGCATGTTATACCAAATGCAAAGCAAGAGACAGAAAAATAAAATCTATATTTCAGTCTTTGTGTTTATTTTATATCTACCATGTGTTATACAGAAAATAAATGTACTTAAATGTTATGCAAAATTATAAACTATTTGTTAATTTTCCCTTATTTCTTTTATTGTATAGCTCTTTTGTGTAAGGTTGTTAAGTTGACTAGTCTGGTAGTACAGAGTATAGAGAAAAGCGAACTAAGGGTTACTGATCCCTGGGTAAAAAACTGCCTGGATGGCCGGGCCCAAAGAGTTGTGGTGAATGGAGTTAAATGCAGTTGGCGGCCGGTCACAAGTGGGATTCCCCAGGGCTCAGTATTGGGGCCAGTTCTGTTTAAGATCTTTATCAATGATGTGGACGAGGGGACTGAGTGCCCTCTTGGTAAGTTTGCAGATGACACTAAGTTGTGCAGGAGTGTTGATCTGCTGGAGCATGGGAAGGCTCTATAGAGGGATCTGGACAGGCTGGATCGATGGGCCAAGGCCAGCTGTATGGGGTTCAACAAGGCTCAGTGCCAGGTCCTGCACTTGGGTCACTGCAACACCATGCAACACTATGGGCATGGGGAAGAGTGGCTGGAAAGATGCTGGGCTGAAAAGGGCCTGGGGGTGTTGGTCAACAGCTGTCTCAGTGGTCCCAGGTGGGTAAGAAGGCCAGCAGCATCTTGGCCTGTATCAGACATAGTGTGGCCAGCAGGACTAGGGAAGTGATTGTCCCCCTGTACTCGGCACTGGTGGGGCTGCACCTCAAGTGCTGTGTTCAGTTTTGGGCCCCTCACTACAAGAAAGACCAAAGAAAGGCAACAAAGCTGGTGAAGGTTCTAGAGTACAAGTCTTACGAGGAGCAGCTGAGGGAACTGGGGTTGTTTAGCCTGGAGAAAAGGAGGCTGAGGCAAGACCTTGTCCCTGTCTACAGCTACCTGAAGGAGGTTGCAGCCAGGTGGATGTTGGTCTCTTCTTGTTGGTAACAAGTGGAAGAAGAGGAAATGGCCTTGAGTTGTGCCAGGGGAGGTTTAGATTGGATATGAGGAAAAAATTCTTCCCTGAAAGGGCTCTCAGTCATTGGAACAGGCTGGCCAGGGGAGTGGTCGAGTCACCATCCCTGGAGGGGGTTAAAA